GGGCAGTGATTGCACCTTACTCATAGTACTGCATATTACACGGGTTTGGTAGTAGCAGCATTTGTTTTTTTTTTTTTTTTTTTTTTTGAGACAGAGTCTTGCTCTGTCACCCAGGCTGGAGTGTAGTGACTTTGTCACAGCTTGCTGCAGCCTTGAACTCCTGGGTTCAAGTGATCCTTCCACCTCAGTCTCCCAAATACCTGGGACTACTGGTGCCCACCACCACAACCAGCTAATTTTTTTAGGTTTTTTTTTTTTTTGAGACAAAGCCTCAAGCTGTCCCCCTGGGTAGAGTACCATGGCATCACAGCTCACAGCAACCTACAACTCCTGGGCTCAAGCACGTCTATTGCCTCAGTCTCCCAAGTAACTGGGACTACAGGTGCCCACCACAATGCCTGGCTATTTTTTGGTTGCAGCCATCATTGTTGTTTGGCGGGCCGGGGCTGGATTTGAACCCGCCACCTTAGGTGTATGTGGCTGGCGCCTTAGCCACTTGAGCCACAGGCGCTGAGCTGATTATTTTAGTTTTTATAGAAACAGGAACTCATTATCTTGTCCAAGCTGGTCTCAAGCTCCTGGCCTCAAGTGATTCTCCTGCCTCAGTCTCCTTACTGGCTTTTCACTTATGCAAGTGAAATGCTGTGGCCAGGTGTGGTGGTTGACACATCTGGCCACCGCATTTCAACTGAATAAGTGCACAAATGAGGAGCTAGTTAGGAAAGCAGATGGTAGAGGTATTAAGGGTTTGAAACTAAGAGGAAGGCTGAAACTCAACAACTCTCTGGAAAAAGATTCAGCAGGATATGCTGGTTACAGGGGTCTGGGGAAATAAGGAAGAAAGGGTGACAGACCAGGACAGCTGGATGCCTTGTGGCACCACTGAAGGAGGACACTAGAAAACCAGAGAGTTCGAGAGAAGTATCTGTTGCAAGGGAGGATGATGAGTTTCAATTCTGATGTAATGAAGTTTCTGGTAACAGAGAACTCTCCCAAGGGAGCTCCTGGAGGAGGTGAGAAATGCTGATTTGGGAGTCGTTGAAGAAATGGTAACAGACACAGTAAAGGCAAAGGAACCCACACAGGGGAAAAAAAGCATAGAGTTAGAAAACCATGAATTTCAAGACTAAATCTGTAAAAAAAAAACCTTAAAGAACATAAAGAAGAAAGCTGGAGGAAAGAGGCTTGGGCCCCACAGCTTGTCACACCTCAGCAGCTGAAGGCTGCACCCTCTCTGCTGTACAACACTATTGGTGCCACCAGATGGACTCAGCATTGATTTCCTTATGAGTGAGACAAGTCTACAGGAATCTGGATCACTCAGAATTTTAGAGGAATAAGGAGTGACAAACCTGTCCCAATGGCTGGAAGTGAAACTGATGTGTATTTCCTCTGTTCACACTCTTCTAGAACGGTGGAGACTGTTTTCCTGACATTGTTTTCTCCAAGAACGTGCATTATTATTTTGCAGTTTAAGTTTCCACTTTGTGTAATTATAAAATCTCTGTGAGGCTGTGCAGCTGGAAAAAGGGAAGAAACACACAGGCCCATCAGTTAGTGGGAGCAACATTTTCATCATTGACAAATGAAAATACCTGACACCAGAGAAAGCCGTGAAGCCCAGCCTCCTTCCATCCCTCTGGCTTCATTCACTGGGAATGTGACAGGTTTGTTTTCTTTACAATCATAATTCCTGAACTCAACAACTACATTGTTGAATATTTTGGGTGCTGTTCCACAGCATTCTATCTGCATCAATCCATTCAATCCTCAAAACAAGCCGAGGAGGCAGGTACTATTTTCTCATTACATAGATTAAACAGAGCCACAGAGAGGTAAGGCTGCCCAGGACATAGACCCAAGCAGCCAGACTCCAGAGCTCTTAACCCCCTCCCCTACTGTCCTAGAAGAGCGATTTTATAATATTGATCAAATAATCAACTACTAATCATTAATTAATAATTGTAATCCACTCATTGACCATGTTAATTTTGCAAGGAGGTAGGTAAAAGCAATACACTCTATAGTGGGGGGTGTGAATGGACGAAAACTTCTCCATCCCTGGGGACCCAGAAAGCACATGAGCACAAGGAAATTACCAGGGCTATTTTTAGTCACTGCCCTTTTGGTTCAGCCTGCTCTGAGTAGGGGTTGGGTCTGGCAAAAGGGAGGAGGAAGACAGTGGCTGCTCTCCTGGGGAGCCCCATGCCCAGGCACTCCCTGGTGCCCTTTGGGTGCCCACCTGATCCTCCCTCTTAGGCAGCTCATCCACCCCAGCTTCATCCTCAGCTTCTACCTCCCAAGGCACAGCTGGCCCTTCCAGGGCTCAAACCCCTGTTCATGTCCTCTTCCCTCCCTCTAGTAAGTCTTTCACTCCAGAGAAAATGCCTTAATCAGAAGAGAGCTAGTAAGACTGGCGTTTCCAGCACCACAGCAGGTCAGCTGGGGGGCTGTACTGGCAAACATGGTGTACTATGACTTCTTCAAAGTGCACTTGTAGCCAACTGTCTCCTCAGCTCTGGAGGGGATATTTTAAAGGACAAATAGTCCTTCAGGTTCCTAGCTCAGGTTTCAAAAAGGATTGAAGTTATTGAGATGGAGATGTGCTATAAGAAGGTAAACTAGGTTGGGGAAAGTAAAAGGTATTTGTATAGCACTTTACAGTTTACAAAACATTTCACATTCATTATTCCTTCTCATCCTCACAACCACCTGTGGGACAGCCATCCCCATACTCCTTATCAGTTGGACCTACTTACAGACAAGAGAGCAAAGCTCTCAGAGGTTGGATGACAAGCCTACGATCACCGGGTAAATGCTGGAGCCTGGATTATTAAGACAGCCCGGTTTCCTTTGGATACTCACGAAACAAGAGATAGATGGGATGGTGGGACCTCTCTCCCACAGCCACCAAGTGCCACCACCTCTGCCTGCTCCCCTAGTGAAGTAACCTTTTCTGAAATGCTCACTATCTACTCTACTCCCAGTCCTCCTGTGGGTCCGCTCATAGTATTCTCAGCCCTCTAATTTTCAACGGTTTGTAGCCAAAAGTAACATGTACCATACCTAGTATAGCACACTCATATTGCACGTCCTGTCCAGCACCTTCTAAAATTGCCTTTGACACACCTGAAGAAGACACGTTAAAGGTAAAAATTCAGTAAGTGGTTATTAGCCTTTGTACATTATAATTTTGCTCAACTCACCCCTTTGTGCATAATCTATCAGCCCCTCTCCCTCAGAAAACCTTGTTTTCTCTTTTTTTTTTTTTTTTTGAGACAGAGCCTCAAGCTGTCACCCTGGGTAGAGTGCTATGGCATCACATCTCATAGCAACCTCCAACTCCTGGGCTCAAGCAAGTCTCCTTCCTCAGCCTCCCAAGTAGCTGGGACCACAGGCGCCCGCCACAATGCCCGGCTATTTTTTTCGTTGTTTGGTGGGCCGGGCTGGGGATCCGAACCCGCCACCTTAGGTGTATGTGGCAGGCGCCTTAGCCACTTGAGCCACAGGCGCCAAGCCAGAAAACCTTGTTTTCTATAGCAACCTTCATTCAAGGGCTGAAGAATGAACCCCGGGTCCCAGCGTGATGGCACTGCTGGCTGAGAGTCCAGTGTCTGCAGCATTACCTTCTCTACTTGCACAGGGATTATTTTTGCAGTTATCTGAAATTTTTTGTTTTACCCTTGTTCTTTTATAAAAATGAATAACCAATATAAAACTAAAAGTTCTGATACTAACGAGAAGTATGACACTCTAAACTGTAATGAAATTGAACATTTTACTTAAGTTCTTCATTTTTTCCCCCTACAATTAGACAGTTAGCTGATTTTAGTACAATGATTCTTCCAAGGAAGGTTGCAGTTTCACGGCTTTGGTTGAGTCTAACGACAACTGGATTGAGTAGTCAATGACATGGACATTGCATTTTGAAGGATTGGGTTGGCTTAACTTCACCACTTAGTAGCTAAAATGTGAGTAATCAGTTCCTTATCTATTACACAGAAGCTGATAACACAGAACTTCCCTCACTGGATTAGTGAAAAGGTATAATGGGTGATAAATGGTTAGCATAAAAGCTGCCATGCAAAAAATACTAAATTAATGTTAGTTGTTTTACCACTATGAAGAGATATAGATCTATATAACCTTGATTATGTGTGTTATGAATTATCTTTTGTTTCAATGATTTTTAGAGACAGGGTTTCACTCTGTTTCCCAGGCTGGAGTACAGTGGCATGATCATAGTTCACTGTAACCTCTAACTCCTGGGCTCAAGTGATCCTCCTGCCTCAGCCTCCCAAAGGGCTAGGTCTACACACATGCAAGTCACCATGCCCACCTTGTTATTTATTTATTTATTATTAAATTTTTTTTTTTTGTAGAGACAGAGTTTTACTATGTCTCCAAGGCCAACATCTCATTTTTTAAAAAATTCCCTTTTCGGTTTGTTCGTTCGGTCTCAGTCTTTGCTGTGATGGAAACTTCTCTCAGTGTTCAGTAATCTTGGCCAATCTGTTCATATGTAAAAGTGAGCTTAGAAGCAGTATGTGAGGAGGCTTGGAGGCTTGTGGATCAGTGGGCTTCAGCTGTCTGCTGTTTTGGGAGCCACACAGGGAGGGAGGCTAGATGCTCCCTGTCCAGTACAGAGAACTTCTCTTGGACACGGTTTTCAGAACAGCAGACAGCTGAAGCCCACTGGTCAACAAGCCTCCCCCCATATTCCCCACCTCACCTATGCCTGGTGCTCCAAGTTCAGAATTCCTCTGGCTCTATTTTTCTAGGGCATGAACCTCCCATCTCTGGTTGGGGAAGAGCAAGGAAAGTTACTGCTGCATAGGAGGGTGAATAGAATCAAGAGGCCTGATTGCTACTGATACGGATTTTCATCTAATTCTGCTTTCATGCTTTTATTTGTCCCCTGCTTTCCCAGGCACCTGTTGTCTATAATTCCCATGTCTATAGGGGCCGCTGTTCTCTTCAGCAGTATGCCTCCCCCCACCATCCCATGTCAGCTACTACCACTGGCTAGCAGCTTCCCATCTTCTAAAATATGTTATTATTTGTTCACAGTTCTTTCCCCTCCAAATGCTTTTTCCTTGTGTGTTTAAACTCTTTTCATTCCTTTATTGTTGCTTCAATGGCATACCAAAAGGGTATGCCTTTGAAGCAGGGATAAATGCATATAAATGATAATTCCATATACCATGTTTCAAATAACTGGATATTCTTTAGGTCCATATTTTGAATGACTTAAAAGTTGAGTGACCAATAAATTAAAGTGATATTCTACAGATTCGTTTCTGCCCTGTAAATTCCACAATATTTTGCAATTTATAAAATATGTAAAATTCTATTTCTATTTACATTTCACCTTACACTTTTAATTTAAAAGTCACTATTTTATGATCTATGAAATATATAAGCAAAAGAGTATACATATAAAAGTTATAAATTAATAAATATATGTGGGGAAGGCATGCTTGAAAGTCTTACTGTAATGGGTGTGGTTAAACATTTCTCAGAAAATCAAGAAAAAGAGTTGAGTTTCACTTCTGGGACAGTGTAACATGAAGAAGATAAGAGCTGCAGGATGTGAGTGCCAACTGATTACGTAAGGAGGGAAGTAAAAATAGAAGAACTTAAAGCTTGTTCAATTATAAGTGTGAAAGTCTAATCCAGAGATAAAAGGGGCTGAGAGCTGACATTAAGCATGACGCAACAGTTATAACCCACCGTTACATCAGTTCAACCTATCTGATCCTCCTCTGGGAAATAGGCATTCGACCTACAAAGAAACAAGGCTAAGAGAGGTCATTGGCTTGTCCAACCAAGACCACATGATGCTAAGTGATATAGCTTATAAGGATTCAACCCAGGTCTTTCTGAGTCCCAGGCTGGCATATTTTCTACAACATCCTCTCTACTCAGGACAATAGTAGCCATTAACAGTTACAATGAATTACATTGCTTAAATAAAGTACCTGATTTCAGATTAAATGTCCTTGTTGTTGAGTTTACAATAACATCTACATTTTCTCTGGTGATATCTCCAGTAGCAACCTGGAAAGTAACTGCACCAATTTTCATTTGATACATTGAAGATGCAGGATTAGAGTCAGTCTTGAAGATACCTGAAAAGAAAGAAAATGGATAAGGAATTGACTGGCTCTTGGAGGCCCTATTCTCTTCCCTGTCCTCTTTCTTTTCCCCAATATAAATCTAAACATTACCATGTCTCCTGGCCTGTTAAACTACTAGGTTTCCTTTTTAAAGGAAATTAGAAAATAATGCTGTATGGAGGAAAGAGTATCTACATTTTCTCAGTTAAATAAGATAAGACAGAAACATCTGATTGAACCAATCTGTTTACTGGCAAAAGTGGAGAGAGGAGTGAAGAAGAAGGGGAGGGAGAAAGGAGTGAGGAAGAAGGGGAGGGTGCAAGGTGCTCTCTCATATCATGTGGACAACATCACTGGGATAGTCTTTTATTACCACTGCGGATAGCAATACAGAGGATGCTCAGAGGAAATTACCATCAACATGCTGGCATATTCCTGTCCACTGTGCACTCTGAGGCTTTCCAACTTAGATGTGCCACTTCCATTCATCCTTTCAACTCATTAGATCTCCCTGTTGGTGTTTTTACAGTGGCAACAGAAACACCTGCCCTTGGGGCCATTGTATAGATAAATAATATAATATAATGAAAGTAATCAGTAAAGTGTAATGTGCCATACACAATTCTTTGAAATTCTGGTTTCATTACCAATGAGTTAGTTCAAGTTAATACTCTGGCTTCTTTGTGTGCCCAGACGATGAGACACACTCTAACATCTTCTCCCTCACCAATTGGTCTTCATGTCAATTAGTTTTGCCTCCTTCTATTGGACTCAACTACCAGTGAAAAGTTACTAGGCAAAGAGAAATATTTCCTTGGCAGAACAACTTCACCAGACCTTGGGTATCTCTAGCCATGAAAATCTTGTCCTTGTTGGGATTTCCACCTGACCGTCTAGCAAATTCATCTAAAAATACCTGAAAATAGAAACAGAGTTATTGACCATTCTATAGGAATACTATAGAATAGTAGTTATTCTATAAAATTGTAGTGATATAGTTATTGAACATTCTATAGGAATACTACTCCAATTCTTTGGAGCAAATATCAAATAAGAACAACAGTTATTGACCACAATAACATTCTATAGAAATACTACTCCAAATCTTTGATCAGCAGATATCAAATAAGAATAATAGTTTGTGATAGATTTTCTCTTACCTCATAGACTTTGGAATGAAAGGATTATAGTTCAATCTAGAAATTTTCTCAATAAGTATCAGTGCTGATTTACTTCATTTTATGAGTATAACTAACCCTGTACCCAGGTGAGTAGGTTAGGGAACCTGAATAAAAGGAAGTAAAGTTTTGTAAGGACTAACAATTAAGTCCTTTATGAAGTCCTTCTAGCCAACAACTAATTTAGGGACCACAAAGACATGTGGAAACGAAAGGATCTATTTTTCCATTTCGCATCCATCTTAGTATACTGGCTCTGCAGGAAGTCATGTGCTTTATTTGCAATAGTAAGAGATTATCTCTCTTCTTTTGAAACCCCACACTTCTGGCCTTCTACATATGATGTGCTTAGGGGAGTGTAGAATGGTTACGGTGGGAGGGTCAGGGTACAACATTCCTTAGCATAATTGGCTGGTAGATGCATTCTGGGGTTCATTAACAACAAATACATGTAGCATATTTCACCTCTATGCCTAGCCAAAGCCTCCTGAACAAAATCACTAAAATCCACATTAGGCCGTCATAAGCTGAAGTTTTGTTTAGAAATGCAAATGATTTGTTGGTCATGTGAGTGATAAAACTGAGCAATGCATGACAAATTGGAGTTATAAAGTTTCACTTGGATAGTCCACTTTAGGTATGAAAATTTGCTAATAATATTTTTCCCAGTCTATCTTTGAGCAAGAATTATGTCTCTCGACATTTTATATTCACTAGGGGAGAAAAAAACTAAGAAAAGTTTTGGGATAAATGTTAATCTTTTAACTGTTATTATTCTCTCCTGCATCTATGGGCAAATAAGCTTATAAATTACATCATGTAATACTTCGAAATGTTTCTGGGGCTCTCTGGGAAACATCTCTGGGAAGGCTATACTTCCATCCCAAATGGCTAGAAATAAGAACTTAGAAAACATAATTATCTTAAATGTCCTTTTCAAGTGCTAATGTTAGTAACAACTTGTAGCAATTGCCTGTTAGCCCTTGAAGTCAGGTAGTAAGGACATGATAACTACTACTGCAACCAGTTTTGAGGCTTGCTATATGCTAGATACCGTGCAAAACACTTGAAATCTACTCTCTCTTTTAATACTCACATCAGCTCTGCAAGATCTTAATAACATGTTCATTTTATCCATAATAAAACTGAGATTCAGAGAAGTTATGTTACCTAACTTTTAAATGGAAAAACAGCTTCAAACCTAGGTATACTATTCTTCTAATGCCAGTGATAAGTGCTTAACAAATGTGATTTTTACTGCTTCTCCACTGCTGAATATGGTGCTGGTATTTCTAGTTGCAGACTCTCACAGACTTGTACAAACTGGTATATTCTATCCTAATAACTAAATTCTTTTTTTTTTGTTGTCGTTGTTGAGACAGAGTCTTAACTTTGTCACCCTGGGTAGAGTGCCATGACATCATAGCTCACAGCAACCTCAAACTCTTGAGCTCAAGTGATCCTCTTGCCTTAGCCTCCCGAGTAGCTTGGACTACAGGCACCCAGCACCATGCCCAGCTATTTTTTAGAGATGGGGTCTCACTGTGGCTCAGGCTGGTCTTGAACTCCTAAGCTCAAACAATCCACCCACCTCCCAGAGTGCTAGGATTACAGGCATGAGCCACCACACCCAGCCTAAATTCTTCAGGCTTTTCTTAGCCTATGTTTTCCCTATAGGTAGAGCCATGATTTAGCTTTCATATAGTTATTGTTAAAATGTCTAGGCCATTTTTATGATACCAATTTACTACCTTTTTCTAAGAATTGATTTATTATAGTTTATCCGGTCCCCTGATAAACTGTCTAGGAAGGATTGTGGGAGTTATTAGTGTTCACTCATAGGCAAGCCACGTGACAACCTCCCATCAGCAACCAACACTTACAGGGAGAGAAGTATAAAATACTATTGTTGACAACTGATTATATTGGGGTTCACTTGCCGGAATGACCAGACAAGATACACAACCATACCTGACGGCCTTTCTCATCACATGTATATACCAGAATGTGAATTTCTTTTAAGGTTTTCTGCCAAGAACTGCTACTAAATTTGAACACTTCTGAAAAGATTAGTTCAGCAAAAGTAGCTTTGGGAAACTTCAAATTTCCAGTTCCAATCAGGGGAAATGTGATCGATGAGAAACTTTGTTCTTCTACAGTCCTCAAACACGTCTTGATGATATTTGCCATGATCTGAAATGTACGAGGACAATAACACAGTTCAGGGCTCCAACTGGTAGAAAACAGAAAAAGCCACAGTTGTAGCAACTCTGACTAGGACCTCTCTGCTACTGCTGGCTTTCTTAGGGCCTGGGAAGTTAGAAAGGGAAAACAACAAAAGGGGAGAGGATTTCCCAGGGAGAGTCAAACTTATTCAGGAAGGGAGGGTCCAATAGTGTCGAATGATTACATGAACAATGGAACCTCAGTGAAACTAAAAGTGATGTCCATGAAGAGTTTTGACATGAGAAAAATCTTTAAGAAAAAAAGCAGTATTAAAAAATGTTTGGAAGAGAATCTCAACTAAAAAATAATTGTGTATAGAATCGACTTGAAGAAAATACATAAAATGTTAACCAAAATTATCTCTTGGGGACTGATAGTATGATTTTCACCTTATTTTCATACTTTTCTGTACTTTCTACAGCATAAACCTATTTTTTATATTCTGCCAATATAAAGTTGGGAGGTTAGACGAAGAGTAAAGGTGAGAATTATGTTAACAAAACAATTATAAGAGGGTCCTTATCTAACAAATGCAATCAATGTAACCTGGTTCTGTGTAGCCTCAATGAATCCCCAACAATAAAAAAAGGGGGGGGGCATGACTCTCTTTTATGCAGCTCTGGGTGCATCTCTTTGTTGTCCTGAAGGATGAATACATTACTTTTTAGATACCACTCCTGGAAAAGCCCAGTGGCTGTTACTACTTCCAAGGGTCAATTACTATGAAATAACAGATAGTTGTGATGGAGTCTCCATGAAATGTAGCAAAGATTTCAATAAAGAGCCTGGGTTCAATCAATACTAGGGTTTTTCAACCTGGGCCAAATATTTCTTTGTTGATGGGGGCTGGTGTGCGCATTGTAAGATGTGTTGCAGCATCCCTGGCCTCTACCTACTAGGTACCAATAGCAATCGTAACAAGCCTGTGCAGCAAAATTGCCTTAGTTGAGACCCAAGCCAGAAAGAAATTCTCAAAGCTACCAGAGGAGGTGAAGTACTAAGGGCTTTCTCTACCTGCTCAGAAGCCCCTGCTCCGTTATTCCAGCTTGGAGCCACGACGTGGAGTACTGCTTTGCAGTCTAGATCACAGCCACTTGTCATGAACATACTACCCACTTTCTCGTATGTTTGCTGTGTGGTGGCATTTAACTCCTTCTGGAGATCCAGACCAGCTTTCTCCAAAAGAGCCAGAGATAGTGGTCCTCCTCCAAGCTGAAGATCCGTGGGAACAGTGTTGACAATGACATCGGCCTTAATGAAAACAGGAAGTTTGTTAGAGATTGAGCCAGTACATAACAATTGAGCACCTGTGACTTTGCCAAGCAATATGGAGTAATGCACAAGATACGTTTTGCCTTTCATGCCAACATGCCAGCCCTACCCTCAAAGAGTTTATGATGTTATCAGTACTTAGACACCATAATGAGGTGACTCCCGAAACTTAGAAATTAAGGAAATATACTAACTGCTACTGTCAAATCAACACCTAGCGAGTCAGAATAGAACTATGAAAATGAGTGAAACAGAGACCAGAGACAGAGACAAGAGTGAAAAACAGAGATGGAGAAAGAAGGAAAGTGAGAATGAAAGGCAGAGACAGAAAGAGAAAGACAGAGAGAAACAGATGAATAAAAACAGAAAGATTGAGAGAGATGGGAAGTGAGAAAGAATCGCTTTTAGGCTGGCAGAAACTGAAAATACTTGTTTTTAATTTAACATAATAACATACCTAAAGACAGAGTGGGCCTATCTAAAGGGGGGTCTGGTCAGCCCTTAAGGCCCAGACAAAGGGAAGTCACTAAAGTGAAGGAAGGTAGTGTCCATTCTAGCCTGTCCAGAGGCATCCAGCTCTCCAGTGTGCTAAGACTGTCCCTTAGGTAAGATGGGGTCTTAGCCTGTTACCATTTGATGTTCTATATTCAATTCCTCTCACTCCTCTTACTCAGATTTTGTGTTCACTGACACCCCTTCATTCCCTGGTAATTTGACTTTGGGCAAGGAAGTGAGTGCTCTGATCATGTGGACAGGAGTGGCATGGAATCTAAGGACTCTTGGCTAGAGAAAAATGAAGGAAGCAGGGGCTCCCTCTCCTCTGCCCTATCTTGAGCTATAGCAAAAAGCAACAAGTATTTTCAGTGGCTCATAATCCAGAAGAATCCTGAAATTTCTCAGTAGGGCTCTCCTTTCATTACTTGGAATGTGTGCCGCCTGAAGGTAAATATCAAGTGTCCAAATTTGAGGGCTGCAGAATTCGGAAGAAGCATCCATAGCAGTGAATCTCAGCCCTGGCTACGTGATAGAATCTCCTGGAATGCTTTCAAAAACTACTGTCAACTACACCACAGACCTGACCAATTAAAGTCAGGAACTCTAGGGTGAGGCCTGGGCATCTGTATTTTTCTTTTTCTTTCTTTCTTTCTTTAATTTTTTTGAGACGGAGCCTCAAGCTGTGCCCCTGGGTAGAGTGCTATGGCATCACAGCTCACAGCAACCTCCAACTCCTGGGCTCAAGC